CTCCCATAGGATGAGGATGTGGAGTTTCGAGGAGTGTTGAGGAGCTTCGTTTTTTCTGAAAAACGAAACTCCACGAAAAGTCAAAGAGTGACAATTCGAACGCGCCCTTAGTTTTACGAATGCATTGAACGTCGCCTGAGCTAGATCTACAGAGTACAGTGGTGATAAAATGATATTTTAAATCCGATGGAGTCAGTCAATGCCACGGCAGGCGCTCTGCAGCCCTATAGAAATGAACACTGAGATATGAACAGGGGTACATGTAGGGCGCACCTCAGGTTCACGAGGTCGGATTTCATTGAACACGACCGCAGACTCTTTGTATTTTGTATTTATGGATTCTCCACAGGCCTTAGCCTGAATCGAGGGAGTTTCTTGTTCGCTACCTAATGCTTTGTCAGAGCCCGGATTTGACCTGCTTCAAACAAAGGTGGTTTTGCGGGGGTGGGTCCGACGCGGCGTGGTTTATCACTCTCTGTTCCTGGAGCTAGGCTTGTGGATCTACCTTCGCATCCTTTCGTGTAGGAAGCAGACAATGCATTCAGTGTGTCATACGAGGGTAGCTGTTCGCACGTCTGTTCGACCCTGTCTATTGCCTCCGAGTATTGGATCCGGTGCGCAAGCTCTGTGTATGCGTGTGTGTGGATTTTACAAGTCAGCCTCGCACCCCAAAACGAGCGGAGTGGCGCGCTGCTGAGTGCTGGAGAACAGAGTCCGCACAGGTGAGAAGTGGCTGTCACTGCTAGAGACTGCATGCACTGTCTACAGTAAAGAACGGACTCGGTGTAGACAAGCCCTGGTCTACATGGTCTAGGTCACAGTAGGTGTAGGTTAGATTGAACTGTGCGCCAACGTCTACATACTAAGTGCGAAAACCACACCAGTTCAGAGAGCAACCGCTGAACTTACTTTCTTCTACACACAAAACTGAGGCACCAGTCGTTTTTTGTGCTAGCAGAGAAAGCCGTTTTCATCTTTCGAATTTTTAGCGTGGACAAGAGAGTTTTCTTTGCTGTTTGTTTCCGAGAAGTCAGTAGTAACGGTGTCCCCGGTTTATCGGTAGGGAAGCGTGCTTCCCCTGGCGTCGTGGGGCACATGCAGCACGCCAGAGTGACGTCGAGTCTCGCCGAGAAGAACAGGCGATGCAGAAGCAGTGAGCGGGCCGGGAAAACGGTACGTAAGGTCACAAACAATTTCTTGGAAGATGTTTTTTTACTTGTTTGTGTGTCTGGGGGCTACGCACACAGATAGAAGCAGTCCAAAATACACTAAAAGTGTCATGCTTGTAGCAGTAGAACTTCGGCCAGTGTAGGCTTTGCTGCGTCACATGTAAGAAAGACATTTTGGCCGGTGTTTGCTAGTAATGTGGTAGACATCACTTTCAAAAGCGTTCCCACTCGTACTATCTCGGACTGCTGGCATTGCTTACATGAACCCAGCTCTGGCCCAGGCTGCGTGTTGGGGCTTTGTAGGACCACACTTCTGCAGTGGTGATCTTGTACACATAATGGGCCTGGACAATGCGTATGGGCCCATGGGGGGGGGGGGGGGGGGTGTATTGTGGAGGAGTGTGGCCCTTCTAATGGACTCTGCAGTGAAATATGACTCTGCACTATTCATGATGGTGTATTTCCATGACTCCCCACTCCAGTAGCTTGGCAGGCACTGTTCATGATGGCAGGTTGTGCTGTGACAATTCGAACGCGCCCTTAGTTTTACATTGAACGTCGCCTGAGCTAGATCTACAAAGTACAGTGGTGATAAAATGATATTTTAAATCCGATGGAGTCAGTCAATGCCACGGCAGGCGCTCTGCAGCCCTATAGAAATGAACACTGAGATATGAACAGGGGTACATGTAGGGCGCACCTCAGGTTCACGAGGTCGGATTTCATTGAACACGACCGCAGACTCTTTGTATTTTGTATTTATGGATTCTCCACAGGCCTTAGCCTGAATCGAGGGAGTTTCTTGTTCGCTACCTAATGCTTTGTCAGAGCCCGGATTTGACCTGCTTCAAACAAAGGTGGTTTTGCGGGGGTGGGTCCGACGCGGCGTGGTTTATCACTCTCTGTTCCTGGAGCTAGGCTTGTCGATCTACCTTCGCATCCTTTCGTGTAGGAAGTAGACAATGCATGATGTGGAGGTAATAATTATTTGGCAGGCGCCATGCACACATTCAGTGTGTCATACGAGGGTGGCTGTTCGCACGTCTGTTCGACCCTGTCTATTGGATCCGGTGCGCAAGCTCTGTGTATGCGTGTGTGTGGATTTTACAAGTCAGCCTCGCACCCCAAAACGAACGGAATGGCGCGCTGCTGGAGAACAGAGTCCGCACAGGTGAGAAGTGGCTGTCACTGCTAGACTAGAGACTGCACTGTCTACAGTATAGAATGGACTCGGTGTAGACAAGCCCTGGTCTAGGTGTAGGTTAGATTGAACTGTGCGCCAGCGTCTACATAGTGCAAAAACCACACTAGTTCAGAGAGCAACCGCTGAACTTTCTTCTACACACAAAACTGAGGCACCAGTCGTTTTTTGTGCTAGCAGAGAAAGCCGTTTTCATCTTTCGAATTTTTAGCGTGGACAAGAGAGTTTTCTTTGCTGTTTGTTTCCGAGAAGTCAGTAGTAACGGTGTCCCCGGTTTATCGGTAGGGAAGCGTGCTTCCCCTGGCGTCGTGGGGCACATGCAGCACGCCAGAGTGACGTCGAGTCTCGCCGAGAAGAACAGGCGATGCAGAAGCAGTGAGCGGACCGGGAAAACGGTACGTAAGGTCACAAACAAATTTTCAGAAGATGTTTTTACTTGTTTGTGTGTCTGGGGTCTACGCAGACGGATAGAAGCAGTCCGAAATACACTAAAAGTGTCATGCTTGTAGCAGTAGAACTTCGGCCAGTGTAGGCTTTGCTGCGTCACATGTAAGAAAGACATTTTGGCCGGTGTTTGCTAGTAATGTGGTAGACATCACTTTCAAAAGCGTTCCCACTCGTACTATCTCGGAATGCTGGCATTGCTTACATGAACCCAGCTCTGGCCCAGGCTGCGTGTTGGGGCTTTGTAGGACCACACTTCTGCAGTGGTGATCTTGTACGCATAATGGGCCTGGTCAATGCGTATGGGCCCATGGGGGGGGGGGGGGTGTTGTGGAGGAGTGTGGCCCTTCTAATGGACTCTGCAGTGAAATATGACTCTGCAGTATTCATGATGGTGTATTTCCATGACTTACCACTCCAGTAGCTTGGCAGGCACTGTTCATGATGGCAGGTTGTGCCTGTCAGCCATAAACATTGGCAAGATTTGGATTACCCATGAGAGCAAATTTCATATACCACCCATGTACTACCCACACGCAATGCTGCTCAATGAAATCAGATTGCGTGAGTCAAGTTTGCGCCATGGACCAGCACATGTCCCAGTGTTTTTTTTTTTTTTTTTTTTTTTTACTACGTTCACATAACCAGCTCGAAAAGAACAAGGAAAGACAATGGTACGGAGACTAGGACAAACGTGACAACTAATGAGCAGGCGCTACACCGAGACGCAGCAGTGATGGTGGGGCATTGATGACTCTGCCGACCTGAGGTCTCGGCGTCACGGCCAAAAACACGCACCAAAAACAATGAAAAAAGAAGAAGATAGAGCTGTACAGGTGAGAAAGATGCAAAAACCCAAGGCTTAACACGAGCGATTGTGGGGGAGAAACTGTCTTAGCGTCATACTATTCATAGGGAATCGACTGCCCAGAGCCAGTTTGTGCTGCGAAGATGGCGGTAAACATTCGTTTTGAATGATTGCATTCTCTTGCTGTGGGGAGGCTGGGATAGGAGAGCGGCAGGGAGGGAGTTCCAATCACTGATGCTGCAGTGTGGGAACGAGCGCTTCAGTGCCAGCGGGGCAGATGCAGGCAGCTGGTGTTGGAGCTGGTGGTCATGGCCACTGACAGCACCGTGCTCGCTGCGAGTTCTGGGGTTGGTAGAGATGATGTGGCGCGGTGGCAACACAGAGAGCAGCTGCGGAGGACCAGGCAAGTAGTGCAGCTTGTACAGGCAGGCAAGCGAGGCAACAGTGCGGCGGATGGCCAGGCTGGGTAGGTGTGCCCCAGGGCCGATAGCATGAAGCGCGCGGCGCTGAACATTGTTCAGACGCTGGAGGTGACTCTGCGCAGCTCCCATCCATACAAGAGGCGCATACTCCATGACTGGTCGTACGAACGCCTTGTATACGGTCGTCCGGCCGGCGGGGGTGAGTATGTGGGCGGCTCTGTTTAGGACCCCAAGCCGTTGGCGTGCACGGGTGGCTACGGAGCGTAGGTGATCGCTGAAGTTCAACTTTGCGTCCACCTTCACACCAAGGAGGGTGATGGTGGTTGTCTCGGGCACCAGTGTGCCACCAAACAGGAGTGGGGGGAGATCTAAGCCAGTGCGTCTGAGGGTGGCTGTCATGGCCTGGGATTTGGTCGGTTCAAACATCACTTTCCATGTACGACCCCACTCGTGCAGTCGGTCAACGGACACCTGCAGTGACTGCGCGGCGACTGTTGGGGTCTGCTGGGAGGTGGTTTGCAGGCATCAGGCTGCACAGTGCCAGCGTGCTTGGCTCATGCTATCGGACATCATTGACCAGCAGTATACATTGGCACGGCTTGCCATTATGTTGACTGTTACTTGCTTGACTAAAGAAACACATACTTCAACAGATTTCATGGCAAAGCAGACATTCACAAAGCTTTGCAGCTGTTGGGCACACAGCTGGTAGCAAGCCTTGCAGAACACACAAGGGATAAGTGCTGTGGCATAAGTGGTATAATATCATTGGTATGGTACTCTGTATTTGACTTCATCACGCGAACAGGCAATGATGCCTTCTCACCAGACAACGGCTGTCTCTCACAGAATGATGATTTCAGAAGTATTTAAAGAGTCGGCGTGGAGTATTTATTGGCATTTTTAAATCAGAAATCGGAAAAAATCCTTCTGTGGTAGAGAACAATGCAGCTCTGCTGGACCTGACAAATGCATGTTGTTGTAGTGGCGGTAGCTCTGCACAAAGATATGTGACATCGCTCCGTGTGTGCTTGCTTTCCCGCCTCGAGGACGGATTCTGCTTGTGCACAGAATACCGTCAAAGCATCTGTGACCCCTCGGTACGCTCTTCAGGGCGTGCATATACAAAAATGGCAAGGGGGGGGGGGGAGCAAGATTACTGCCCATGGCCACCCCATTCTTTTGATGTTACACCTAAGCCCCAAACTTTAATTAATTTAAAACTGTGTTTGCTCCCGCTTAAACAATTCCATTTCAACTCATAGAAGTCAGGTTATAGTTTCATAGTATTATTACAGAAAGGAATATGGCATGGAGAACGAAGAATAAGCAAGAGAGAGAGAGAGAGAGACTAGGGTGGGCAAGAACCACTGGAGCATGTGCTTTTCTATACCTGATGGATTCTGATTACTATGGGAAATGAGATGGCAATACGAATAGTCAGTATAGAGTATTATTGTACTGCGTGGATGTTTTAGTGTAAGTAGACCTGTTAAAACAGAGAGGTTCCAGGCAGCAATCATGATTCCGCCACAGACAACACGAGAAGGACACTCTCCTATCGCAGTACGTCTGAGCCAAGAAGGATGAAGGGAAGGCAAGCATCATTCAATGGGCAGTCCACCGCAAAGCAGTGGCCTACAGCAACAACAGCAAAAGGTGCAACTAAGAGTTCATAACCCCCAAGAGTGTGCAACTCCTGACCAGTCCCTGTATGGAAGTCCGCTCGGCGGAATTCCTTCGTTGCGTCATTTTTGGTGCAGTGCAATGAGTCATGCCCATGAAATCTTCTAAAATATGCAGTCAAACAGTGATGCTTTCTCAGGGTAGACTGCCCAAACTGCGATTTGATGTGATACCCAGCAGGAAGTAAAACAAAGCGCACGACACTCAAATAACTAAAATATAGAAATGTTCTTTTCGATGCCAATGCCCGGAACGGCGACACTTCATAGCCTTGTGCTTTCGCCAGTGCAGTGCACCCATCCAATCTCCTTAAAACTAATTTTTCCCGGGAACTCAGTATATTTCCGTGCTTTCCTCGAAGATAATTTCAAATGATTGAGGGAATTGAGAATGCATCGAAGGAGCATTTCTCGGCTGAGTTTTGCAGCTATCAGAATGTTTATCCTCGGCGGCAATGCAATGTGTTTTGCCTCGCCACTTGGCAAAAGCTACACTTGAAGTCTTTCCTCCTAACCTCTTCCTGCATGTCATTGATGTTCAGGGATTCTTGGAGAAAGAGTTTGTTTTTGAGAAAGTAAGACTTGTATGTCTGAAATGTCTTCAAAAAAGCATCGAAATGATGAGGATACAGCCTTTAGTTAGGAGCGAATCCGGGTTTAGTTTCCAGAAATCGCAAGGAACCCAAATGTAAATCGGATGACACGTAGCGCATAATGTAATGTCAGAATTTCGCCGAGCGCAGGGTAATTGCCAGTTGCTCACTCTTGAGGGTTATGAACTCTTGGTGCAACTTATGCCTGGCGCTCGCATGCCAAAAAGTTCGATGCACAAGTTGTGCAGCCAAATATAGTCCTGCTTGGAGTATGGGCATAGCTCGGCTATACGCGCCGTGAACTGTTTATAGCGGTGCGCCTTCCACTATAATTTCTCTTGGATGGCATCTTTCAAAAGACTGTGAATATAGGCATCACTATTTAACCATCAATACTAATGATGATACGATATCAGCTTGGCTGCAGGAAGAATGTTAAAATAGATAAGGCGAGTTGCCTGCAAATAAATTATGTATAATGAAGCTGTGTGAGGCGTCTTTCAGGATTTTGAAAGCATTTGTGGTACTAACTATTCACCGCCTACTAAAGACCGGATAATAGATTGAAAAAAATGAATCTTCTGCTAAAACGTTTAATTATTCTGCCCGCATTTCTTAATCTTATACTCTATATGCCTCTTACTTTAGCTGATTATGGAAGGCGGAACGTGCAGGAGTATTTGCAGCACTGCCTCCAAACTGCGCCTAAAGCAAGTGATGATTCTGTTTCTCCTCATCAATGTTGTTAAGCCAACAAGAGGGTCAGCATGGACTCACTCCCGGACTACGACAGAGTCGTACACCCTTGTTCTTGGTGCAGGTATCATTGCAGCTACTACCAGTTGTCTTGCAAACAGTGAGACTGGAAGGGAGAGTGAAACAACAACCAATCCACCATCCATTATGCCCGATAGTACACCAACCAGTACACCAACCAGTACACCAACCAGTGCACCACCAACCAATCCATCAACCAGTACACCAGGTCAGTGTCTGCTCCAGAGCCGGGTCAGCAGGGTCATTGACCCGGTTAGGAAGAGGGGGATATTTGAACCCGTTTGGAAAAAAAGTACCATACTAGTGTATGGGGTGAACGACTGGCCAAAATTCCATATCGGCTAAAAAGGGATTTTGTGTGGTGTAGGTTTTTCAGCCTGTCAAAGCAAGTTCAGGGCTCACGGTTGTGTACAAATGCGTGGGCGCCTTTCTGTTTCTGGCCAGCTCACGCGACGACAGCTCAACTGTCACGCGACCACAGCTCGACCACCCCTTGTACACAAACTTTAGCCATCTCGCAGCGCATTTTCAGTGCGACACATGCCTCTTCAAAATAGAATAAGGTAGCACAGGTAGACGGTACGACACTGACAATTTGGGTGGAGCCAGGCAAGATGTGCACTAGGGGATCGATCTAAGGAATTTTTGATTTTGGCCCCGTGAAACTACAGATATTGTCACGAAGTAAGTGAATGCTACAGCGATCCCTTGATTTAGAAAAATCGCTTCGGTTAAACTGTAGCTTAGCATCTACTGAAGATTTTGAGGCATCGATTGTCAAAATGGGCCAATTTTGTGCTACCTTAGACTGTTTAGAAGTGAGCTAAGTCGGCAGGGGCGCACGCGAACTCCCGTGCGCGACGACAAGGAAGGAAGTATGCGCATATGCGCTGTAGAATACTACTAGATGCGGAAACTACACCAGCGAGGCAGCAGCAAGGCGTTTTTTGCAATGTTTCCTCAGTGACTGACAAACTCTTGAAATATTATTCACCGTTTGCTCTTTCGCTCATCGGCGCTCTACTGATGTGTGCTTCAGCAGCTATGGCGAACCGAAAATACTTGACCAGTACAACGGCGAAGCCATTTGATTCGTCCTCTTGCAACGAGACAGAGGAGCAAATCGAATAATTCACAACTCTCCATTGTCACTTCTCACAGCAGCGCGCGTGGCACGGCTCTTTCACTCGTGTCCGTGCATTTACAAAACACTCTGAGAACAGAGATAACGAACTAGAACACGGTGTGAGTCTTCGCTTCATTCCATCAAGGAGCTCTTGTCCTCTACCTCTCCTCGCCTGCACCAGGACATTAGCGGACGAGATAGATGTCGATCCCTTTGTCAGCAAAGACTCGGCGGCAGAAATCGCGACTTCTACTCATCACAGGACTCCGCGTGCGAAATGTCTGAAGCCTTCGGCTTACGAGGCCAGTACTGCTCGCAACACACTTGCTCGGAAAGAAGCAATAACAACGACGGTGAACGGCAACCAAAGTGAAACGCAAGTCCCTAGCCGGTCTCCGTCTTCCTCAGTTCTACTTCTTCTTGTAAGTCACTGCAACTCTCCTCACAAAAATGTCAAGTCCTTGCTGTGTTCCGCGCACTGCCGCGTACATGTAGCTCGAGTCACGCGAGCTCATTTCTATGGTGATCAGATTTCAAGATGTCCTCCGACGTAATCGAGTTTTGGCATCCCAACCGTGAGCCCTGAACTTTCTTTTGCTTGGTAGGTTGCGATGGCAAGATCAAAGGAGGCACCAAAGAAAAATGATCCCGACTAGCCCTTTGAATCGCGATGTGGTCGACTTTTATGGAAAGTGGGAGTCTGACCATTCACTGTCTGTGTTTCCAAAATCCAAGCGCAGCGACCCAAAGACTGGAACTGCAGCAAGGGCAACTGACATGCTAGAGAGCGTGAAAGGCACGCGTGCACGGCAGAGGAGTATGAGTGTCATGTTGAAGAAGAAAGGTGTTCTCGGATGCGATGTGCGAGAGACGTTTTGGTTGTTCCCTCGTGGACCTGGCAGCACAAGAGTCGTGGTCAGCGTATCCAGCGGAGCGTATGACAGCTGTCTGGAGAGGCCTATAACTTTATGCGTCATTCGAAGGCTTTGTTGAAACACACTGCAGGCGCGTGCCCCATATGGGTTCCTGGGTGCCCTGAACCCCCTTTTTCCGCTCAAAATGCAGGATTTTGCTTCATTTTGAAAATGTTCCCGGGCGAGGACGCCGACCCCCCCCCCCCCCTTGAAGGTCACTGGCGCACGCGCCTGCACTGTAGTGACACACAGGTCACACCTGCCACGGTTCCTTCAAGTACCGAAGTGACAGCCACAACTGTTCCTTTCCCATTGCTGCCATACGACAGGCTGAGAAAGCAAGAGATACTCTACCAGTCCATGCCAGCAGCTAGACACCAGTTAGCATCCCCACCTCACAGCAGAGCAACCGAGTTTGGGATTAAGCTAGGAGTGCCAATTCGAGCAACTGGTATGATGGCTCTGCTTGGAGCCGCTAGATGGCGCGCAGCTGAGCCGGCAAATGACTCCGCTTGGAGCACGCAAATGACTCCGCATGGAGCCGCCAAATGACTTCGCATAGAGCCGCCGAATGACTCCGCATGCAGCCGCCGAATGACTCCGCGCGGAGCCACCAAATGATTCCGCATGGAGCCGCCAATGACTCTGAGTAGAGCCGCCAATGACTCTGAGTAGAGCCGCCAAATGCTAAATATATAGGTATGCATAACCAGTTGAGAGCATAATATGTTCTCATGGACTATACAGATACCGTCATGGGTGCGCCAGAAACATGAGTTTGAGCTAGTAGGTGGGAGGGTGGAAGGAAATTGTGCGCAGGTGGGCCAGCTCGCTGGGCTGGCTGCTAACTTGCGTTAGCATGCTAACGCTCATTTAGCATCCCCCACCTCACAACAGAGCAACCGAGTTTTGGATTAAGCTGGGAGTGCCGATTCGAGCAACTGGTATGATGGCTCTGCTTGGAGCTGATAGATGGTTCGCAGCTGAGCCGGCAAATGACTCCGCTTGGAGCAGGCAAATTACTCCGCATGGAGCCGCCGAATGACTCCGCATGGAGCCGCCGATTGACTCCGCATGGAGCCGCCGAAGGACTCTGCATCGAGCCGCCAAATGACTCCGCATCGAGCCACCAATAGACACCCTTAGCAAAAAACGTTATGTTGTAACGGTATTATCGCAAGGGGGAAAATACCGTGATTTGGGTTCGACCTTTAGCAAGATGCACGCTATTTGTAGTACGCTGTTGCGACGAGAATAGCTTTGATTTCGCGCGGTACAACCATTTTTGTCACCATCTACGCGATACAAGGTGAAATGCGTACGGACTATGCAATATTTGGCCAAAACACGTATCGTTGGTCACAACGATAAATCAGCCCCCATAACGTTTATTCGCTGCAGCTTCAACGCTATTTGGGTGATCAAGGTACGAGTACCGTAAAAAATAGCGTTACCGTTGTTTGCTAAGGGTGTCTAATGACTCCGCATGGAGCCGCCAATGACTCTGAGTAGAGCCGCCAATGACTCTGAGTAGAGCCACCAAATGCTAAATATACAGGTATGCATAACCAGTTGAGAGCATATATTCCATAAATCGGCACTCCCGGAGCAGATCACAAACTGCAGCTACCCGGGCAATCTGTGAGCAGTGCAAGCTAGATAAAGACTATCAGAACTTGATATCATGGGCTGAGGCCATTGCCGCAGCCACCCGTGCTTTGGCTGCAGGTGGGGTCCGAATGTTACTCGGGCAGACATCGCTTTCCACCTTCCCGCCTCTCTGAATATCAAGTCCGAGAGCTGATTCGAAACGAGTGGCGGGTGTACAACGCCAGGCGAAAGCCACAGTTGATGAGCAATATCCTCGCAGTTGCTGTAAATGCCGATCGATTGGCATTCCCAGCTGATGCCGCTAGCTTTCTCAGGTGCTGCGGGCTGCCACAATTCCAAGCAACTCTTTGCGATTGCTGCTCTGCTTGATTGACTGTCCATCGCCCGATCCTCAGTCGCAATTGTACGCACACCGGCCAAGTGCACCACATGCATCGGTGAATAGCAGCAAGTCGGGGGACGACGTCCACTTAGGGTGTAGGAAGAAGGACCGGCCGTTCTACTAATCCAGGAGCTCAGGCCATCAGCAAAGATCTTTGAGGCACTCTTCGGAGAGCTTGATCAGGTAATACGGCTGCCGGTACCAGTTGGCAAGTGACAACAATTTGCGGTTGATACACCAGTCGATGTAAAATTGCAGATCCTGGTATAAATCAGAAGATTAGGTTTTTTTATTTTTTATTTTTACTATGTTCACATTCCCAGCTCATCACAACCACACGCTCTTCAGCCGAACCATACAGACACCAGCAAGGACACTTCCGTTGAGAGGTAATATTGTTCTACGCCTCTAGACAGCTGTTTCGCTCCCTGTCGGAGCTCATCAGTAAAGGATGATAATGATGACAGGGGAGGAATGATCATTCTTATACACCAGAAATGGCGCAAGTGCGCGCTTCCCACATAGAACAATGGCAGATGCAAGCTGCTAAAATGGTAAAGTGTGAGAACAGCGATAAATATTCATAGTACGCGCTCATTGGTGGAGAAACACACCACACAGGCGACGAAAATCTTACGCGGAATACTGATGCCAATGGAAAGTACATGTATGTGGTTTATTATTATGATGTTGCAATGTCCATGTATGCAGGCGAGGCGAGACTCACCACCGAGATCCCCAACGCGACAGGCTCAGTTGCCGTTCAGGACTCACAACGACCTGTCCGCCCGTCAACAGGATCGACAGCGGGAGGCCCCACTGATGCCGATGTCGATGCACGCGAGGAAACTTGTAGTCGTGAGTGTGATACTAACAGGTCTAGTAGCAACCACTGACAAACGAGAGGCCAGCTGGGGCATTCACTCCAGTCAGGTCTGCTTGGTCGACGCTTCGTATCTGCAGCTCAGCTCAGTTTGATCAAACAAAGATGTTGCAGATGTGTCCTGCTTTTCTCCTTCCTTCTTCACCGACTCGTCTTGTCATCTCTCCTTCTTTCTTCACCGACTCGTCGTGTCCACTCTGCTCTGCCACTAACGGCGCATTAAAACTTCAGAACTAAATATTGCGACAGAGCTTTTGGCCATATCTTCAATTCATTGCATTCCCAACTCATC